ACTTAGATATTAAAGCTATTTTGGGAATTTATTTTAAGAAATTACCAAGTATACAAAAATATCAACATTTTCTTTTTGAAGCATCTAATCTTGGTGTGGTCAAAATTCAAGAAGTTGCTAATGGAACTTTTGCTGAATCCAATTTATTGAAAACCAAGAAAGCAGATATTTTTGAAGAAATTAGAACTTTATCTATTTTAGTGTTAACACCTCCTCTTTGGATTACAAAAGACAAGAATATCTTTACCAGAATATTCGTCCATTTGTGAAAAATGAATACAAAAGATGTTACTTGTCCAAGACCATTCTATACTAGCAACAAAAATATTTAGAATAAAGTCACCTTTATTACTTTAATATACTTGTTAATTTGTCCTTTACTGTCATTAAGTTTAATAAGTTTAGCTTTTTCCACTTTTAAAGTAAAAAAGTACTAAAATAATTTATATGCTTAATGTACCCTCATAAGTATATTAAAAAAATAAATAAAAAAAAGGTAATAAAAAGAAAGTCATGACAAATATTTTAACAGAAATCCAAGAAAAGAACAAAGAACTATCAAATCACATTGCTGATTTAGAAAAGAAATTAGTTGATAAAGACAAAGAACTCAATGATTATAAAAATACAGAGTAAGTGAGCAAGAGGAAGCAGAATTTAAGCAAGAAGCAACTGAAATAATTCACCAAATATTGATAGAAATGAGGAATAGATTTCCTCATTGTAGCAAGAATATTGAGCAAGATCTAAGAAAATTGATTAGCAAACCATTAAGAAATCAATTTATGAATGTTTGTTTCAACATAGCCTTATGCATGACTATAAATGGGAAGGTAAAGAAAATTTAGAAAAAGTAGTTGAGAGGATTATTATAGATTATTTTGAAGACACTGAGTTAGCCACTGAATTGAAAAAAGATTGGAAACTATGAAATCAAAGAACTCATATTTTTTCTCGAATAGAAGAAGGAGGTAATATTTGAGGCAAGCCTGCTAAGGATTATCATGAAACAGATCGAATTAGCAATAAGGTAATGGTTTTTTACTTTTTTAAAAAATAATAGGGAAGATGTAAATATATAATTATTTGATTAATTATATCTATATATAATTTAGGAGGTAGTAAAGCCCATTGTCTTTACAAAACCAACCAGGGATTTAAAGGCACGTCTTCTATCAAAAACTTCACATATGGCCGAAGAAGAAACTCGTCTTTTAAATGCATTTGTTGACTTATTAGAAAAATGTTTGAATTTAAATCCTGAAAAAAGATTGACTGTTAGAGAAGCATTAATGCATCCATTTGTCACTGGAAAGGTATAAAATCATGGATGACCAAAATAATGGTTTGTATAATAATGATTTTTATTTCTGTCAACAAGTAAAAAGTGTAAATTGTAAATTTTTTTCCTGTTTTCTTTAATTTATTTTTACTTTCATTTATATTTTATATATTTATATTTTTTAAAAAACTTCTACTTAAATAAATAGATTAATGATTCCTATTTTTTTTTATTTTTCTAATTTATTGTTAATTGCAACAAATTTCGATAAAAATTATAAAAATTATAAATCTAATAATTATTTTTGTCACTTGTAAAATGACTTCGTATACAAAATCAACCAATCAGAATTAACAGAATGTTTCCGAGTTATAAAAATGCAAAAACTTCTAAAAAAAAACACCACTTTACTTGAAGCAAGCAAAAAAATTAAATATTTAATAAAGAATGCTCGTTACAGATAATTTTTTATTTTAATAAATAATTCTAATAATAAAACTAATGCGAGGGCAGTATGCAAGTACAGTGAACCCTTGTTTCAACGAAATTTTTGATACAACGAATTTTTAAAAACGTTGTTACACATTATGAAAACATAAAAATTCGTTGAAACGCGATTAGTAACCTTGTTTCAACGAATGTTGAATAAAATTTTCTTATCATTATATGTCCAGCCACTTCGTTGAAACAAGGGCAGACTGTACATGGTTTAGATTCTTGCTCTGTTACATAGTAATAGTGACTAAAATTATGCATATTTATTTTTCGATTTTTTCCCAAATATTATTAATCATCATCTTCTTCACATGTAGGTAAAGCATATTATCTTTGACATGATTATTTATTTATTTTAAACTGTTTAATCCAACTTCAAAACTTAAATGAAGATATATAACAAACAAAAAGAACATTTATTAATCATATAACAAATTTTTAAATGAAATTAACATGATGATGATAGAAGACAGTAGATCTGTAATTATTCAAACCTCTTCAAATTATACAGTAAATTTAGAAGAAAATCATCTAATGTTCCATAGTTCAGTCAAAAAGCTATATGTTAAGAATTGATAGAACTTTGAAAATATCCAAATCATCTGATAAACAATGGACTCCCAAAACAGTACATAAATTCTTTGCAGCGTGTTGTAATTATTCGCAATCGTTTGCAACAGCATTGTAATTATTTGTAGCAACATTGTAATCATTTGCAACGATCGTTGCAATCTTTTGTAACAGTGTTGTAATTATTCACACTGTTATGGAGAGAATATAATTGTTCTTTGGAAGTTGTAATAAAGCAAAAAATATTACAACAAATAAAAATTTTCGTTGTATTTCAAATGACCGTTAGCATTTTTATAGCTTCCATAGCTATATACTACTACCTTTGAGTGAATTTGGTATTAGTATCCGTATTAAGGTTTCTGGACCAAATTATTTTTGGAAAAAAAAAGTAGCATTGGCAATAGTTTGGGCTTCTCAATATTTTTACAAGAATGAGCATGAAAAATCAAATTTTTACCCAAAGTATTTCTCCACCACATAATCACACCAAATGAAAAATTGGACTTGACTCGGTTTTTTTTTATCAAATTGTTCAATTTCCTTTTGACGCTATTATTTTGTCATGATCTGCATTATTGTACTCATAATAATAATAATAATGTTTTATTTTGTCATGGTAAATACAGAATGATTTTTTATCTTAACTTATATAATGTCATTTGAAAACTTCATTAACACCAAAGAGAAAAGGATCCGTATATAAAATTTGTCATGAAATGTATAATGATGCCATGGTTGATTTTGATAAAGTAGAAAAGATTATTTTTTTTCACTAGTCAAAAAAAGCAAGGAGCTTTTTGAGAATGAAAAAGAATATTGTAGAGAAAAGTTTATTTACGATTTTGAATTACATGATGCGATAAACAAAAAGGGCCAACCAAAAGAATGTAACAAGTGTAAATCAACCAGATATTCTGATAGGTTCTGTGAAAATTGCATCAGCTTGCAATTACAGAGTCTGTTTGACACTTGGACATCTGGCAATAACTTGGTTGATGAATTCATTCAACAATGTCAAATGCTCTCGTCTTTGCCAACTCATATTTTAGAATGGATACCTTTTGAACAATTTGAAGACATTGCAAAATTAACAGAAGGTGGGTTTAGTTCAATTTACACTGCCACATGGACAAGAGGAAAAATATTGACTATGATGAAAATAACAATGAGTTTATTTATCATGGGGCTCAAAGTATAATATTAAAATCTTTAAATAACTCAAGTAATATAGGAAAACCATTTTTTGATGAGGTTAGTAGTAGCAAGCAAGCTTTTATTTAAAAAAAACAATAATGTGTCATATTAGTGTTATTAATTATTTTTTATTTTTTTTTATTTTCAGGCATTGAATTATTGTAAAATTAAGTCAGAAATGATTGTTTACTGATATGGTATTACTAAATTCCCAGATGGGGCAGTCAATGGAAATTATGCAATGGTTCTTAATTATCATAATGAAGGAAATTTAAGAGATTATTTACAAAACCATCATTCTAGTTTAACACTTAAAAATAGAATCATAATCCTTAGAAGTTTATGCAATTCATTGTATTGCATACATAAAAAAGATTTAGTCCATTGTGATTTACACAGTGGTAATATATTAATAAGTGGAAGTGGTAGTAGTCACATCACAGACTTGGGATTGTGTGGACCAGTTGATGAAAAATCATCAAATAAAATCTATGGAATTATATCATATGTTGCGCCTGAGCTATTTAAAGGCCAAAAGTATACAAAGGAATCAGACATTTATAGTATGGGGATGTTAATGTGGGAAATATTTGCCGGTCACCCACCATTTGATGATAGAGCTCATAACCATTGTTTAATTTTGGATATATGTGAAGGTTTGCGACCACCGTTGTTACGAGAAATTCCTGATGATTATGCAACAATGATGCAGAGGTGTTGGGATGAAGATCCGTCTAAAAGGCCAATCATTCTAGATCTTGGAGAATTTGCTGATAACAAGTTGGAGGAAATTTATAAACACGAAAGTTGGAATTGGAAGAACAAGAATAAAATTATTAAAAGATTACTCAGCTTCTCCAAAAATAAAAAGCGTGCAAATAGTGGCAGTAATAATATTAGTAGTAATTTAAGACAAGCGCATAAATCACATTCATTAGCATTCCATACAAGCAGAATTTTAGATGCTGAAATCACTAATTATAAAAAGTTTAAAAAGTAATGATAGTTTAATAACTGATCTTGATATTAGTTTTTTCTGAAGAATTTTTAAATATTGATTTTAATAAAGATGAAATAGAATTTTATCAATGTTTATAATGAAAAATACTAATCATTAATTTTATAACAAATTAAGTTTTAATAATATTAAATTTGCAAAGGATTGAAAGGGAGAGATTGTCGAGATTGAAAAATCGGTGAATTAGGAGAAATGGAAATTTTTAATAGCATATTTGCTAATTCATTTTTTAAATTATAAATATTAAATTTAGGTTATAACCCGCATAATTGACAAATAAGCACATTATTATTAAATCATGCATTTTTATAAATTAAGTTTTTTATTTTTTTATTTTAAAAAAATATTAATATTATTAATTAATTAATTAAAAACCTAACAAAATAAATAATAAAAATTTAAAAATTACAATTTTGTGTTACAAAATAATAAATAACAATCTAATCTATTATAAAATTTAATGATAAATATTTCTACTTGTTAAATATATATTGTTTATCATCATTAGAATTATAATTTTTTCGCTCCTAATACACCACCTCTTTTCTTTTGTTCTCTTAATTCAGCCATTTTCTATTATATGAAAAAGTCGAATAATAAATAAAAAAATAAATACAAATTGATTAATCAAAAAGAAAAACAACTTACTTGTCGCCTTTCTTCCTTTTTACGATTAAGTTCTGCTGCCTTTTCTTCTCTCGATAAAATGGTTGATGATGATGACGATGATGTGCTATGAACAGGGCTAACTGATCTGGTAGATGCTGGGGTTGAGGTTTTAGAAGAAACGTTCCAATCGTCACCCCAACCATCATCATTACCCCAACCATCATCATCTAAATCCCAGCCATCAGATGGATGTACTAAAACATAAATATAAAGGATGTTATTAATATGTGTGAAAGAGAGAAGAAAAGAAAAAGAAAGAAGGAAAAAAGGTGCAAGTTATAGTTAGTTACATTTTGATGTTGGATTTAATTTCATCGAGGATGACGCAGCTGTTATTCCTGAACTTGTTGATGATTTGTCATTAATAATAGACAGCGTGCTATTATTACTCGAGGATGATGATGTATTATAATTATTTGAAAGTGTATAATTATTTGATGTGTTATTATGATTTGAAGTTGTATTGTAATTTGAAGATGAAAGTGATGGTGAAGGTAACGGTGAAGGTGGTGCTGGCGGTGCAGTAATTTCACCTTCAATATTACCACCTACAATCTTTATTTATTTCGAAAAAAAGGAATCCATATCAATAAATTTATACTTTTTTTGTTATTTAACCCCCGTTTATTATCATTTGTTTACCTTTTTTGTAATAGAAGTTACAGCCCATCCAGCTAAACTTTCTGCGACACTAGCAGCAGAACCCGCAACACTTGATGCAAATGCAATTGAAGAATTTTGTGTAGTTTCTGTTGATGATGATCCATTACCATTATTAGTAGTAGTGCCAACGTTCGTGTTAATAATTGCAGCGTCAGGCTACATATGTGATGATTTATAAAAATCAATAATTTAATAGAGCAATGAATGAATGAATGAATGAATGATATTTATATTAATATATGTATGTATATACCATCGATTCAACCAATTTTTCTAATCTTTTGATGAATACATCAACTGTTTTAAATGCTTGTAGACGAACAGATCTATGGATAAATAAATAAAGACAAGTTAGGTAGGTATATATACGAGAGGTCCGATAAATGAAAAAGTTTTAGAGAGATGGAGTAGAGTAAAAACTGACTTCACTTTATCGACCAAAACTAATGATATACAGGGCAATATCTTGGTCGCACAATCAGTTGCATCGTAATAATCGGAAGTTGCTTTTTAAAAAAAAAATTTTTTCGTATAATGTTTAACAAAAATCAAAAGATTTAGATAATTAAATTCTGTATGTCTATATTCGCATTTACCAACTAGTGCAACAAGACTTGCTGATCTAGCATAAGGAAAAGGATCTCTTAAAGCTCTTGTAAATGCTGAAACCAAAACTTTTTTTTGTGTCTATGTAAATGTGTATATAGGTAAGTTTATGTTGTATGGGGGGTTTGGTTATTTGATAATTCATTTTATATTAATTAATTACTTACACTTTCATTCAAATATTGACTAATTTTTCCTAAACAGATTGTAGTATTTGTTCTGATTCCAGGTTCTTCGTCCAATTGTAATTTAGCCAAATAACGTAATAAATCATTATTAATCACTTTTTCTGATAACTTTAACGAGAAAAAAAGATTATAATAATATTATGGTAAAAAACAATAATTAATACATAAATACATATAATATTTGCTATACTTGTGATAAATACATAATAAATACCTTGGGAATTAGCAAAAGAATAGATTTGACAGTGCTCTCTCTAATAATTGGTTTAGTATCTGTAAACCCTGTAACCTATTAAAAACAATTAATTTTTAATCAAATGATCTATAAATAAATTTACATGAAAAATTTTTTTTTTTAAAAAACATACCACATTAAAAAAAATCTTATCATTAACTATTTTACTGCTCAAACGATCAATAAACGATCCTAAATTCTCAAGCAAACTCAAACGTATTGCTCGATCAGGTATAGCAAACATTTTAACAAGTGCAGTTACCACTATTTGCTCATATTCAGTATCATCAAGCGTATTCCCTATTTTGATTATGGGAGGTAACACCTTTGCTCCACCTATAAATAAATATTAAGTTTTTTTTTTGCAAAAGAAATTTTGGAAAAAGGAAAAAAGAATATTTTTTTGATTTAATTAATTTAATTACCAGAACCAAACTCCAAAGCATTGATTAATTCGGGTAATATTTTGTATTTACAAATATCTTCGGGAATCTTATCAATAGAATCATTTAATTTTCTATATATTCAAAAAAATCAAAAAAAAAAAAAGAGAAATTTAATTTAAATTATAAACAAAATTATCATTAATTATATGCAATTGTTGAAAATTACTTGTAAAATAGATCCTTTTCCTTTTGTTCTTTAATATTCATATTTTCTAAAAATAAATTTATTTGTATTAAGTTATTTTGAAAACATCCACCATCTTCCATTCCTTCTTCAAGGAATTGGGAAATATTTAAACGTATTTTAGGATTTGTTTGTGTCAATTTCTTGAAACTTGAATGAATATTCTAATAATTATTACAATAATGGTAACGATAGAAGATTTAATTTTATGCATAAAAATTATAATAACAAAAACAACAACAGTAGCAATCATTGTCTATTAAATTATGACAATTAACCTGTGGAATCGAGCTGATGCTTGAGAGCTGATTTGTTGATGAGAAAGGACCATTATAAATTTCGTAAATTAAAGTTCCATAATTCCATGAATCAGCTACCCCAACATCAAAACTGACCTCAAATTGAAAAGACGTAATTTATAATTTATTAGTTCAAGCATATTTTAGTATTACGCATATAAAAATATATGAAAATATATGAAAATATAAATATGGGAAATCGGCATACTCTTTCAAAACATTCCAAGAACTTTTTGATATTTCAGGAGAAGCATATTTGGACGAATCATAAACTAAACCACCAAATGTCTGATAATTGTTATTTTAAAATATTAATAAATTAGTTGATAAATATTATGTATATGATTATTATGAAGCCTACATATATGATAGGATTTTCTTCTTTTAAAGAGCTCATAAGTTCAAAACCACCCAATTTCCATTCTCCAGCTTTATTAGTAAATATAGATGAGACACGAACATTTCCATGAATAATAGAACAATCACCATTTAAAAACTTTAATGCACTCTACCAAATTGTAAAAATAATAATAATTAGTAACATTATTAATTAGGATCCAAGTGCAAGGAATTGGTTAAGTCACTAATAAACGAGAATCATTATACATACTGCTACTTTATATAAACCCCACAATGTCAACTCATTAGAATTATTATTCAATTGTGCTTGTAAAGGTGTTACTTTTTCAGTAACGATATAAATATAAGTGTCTGTCTAAAAAAGAAAAATATGAATTTATAGTAAATAATGTATTATATATATATATATATGTATTGAAAATCAATATAGATATTTTAAGAAAAGTGATTTTACGTCTACACCGTCTATATATTTTAATAAATCAGGATGTCTAATAGTCCTAAATTTTTTAAAGGCATTTCGAGCCAACGGCAACCGATCTTTTTGTTTAACACAATCAAAAGCAAAAATTGATACAGGAGTTCCATCATCCTACAAAAAAAAAAGAAATTTGGTTTATTTTTTATTTTACGTTTAATGAAAACAATATTAATCTTGGGGAAATTTTACTTTTTTTGTTCCATTGTGTAATGACCAAATTGTCAAACCGTCAAACGAATCAAGTTTATCAGTAATGTTATAGGGAAAAGATGGTATTTCTGTTCCAAGAACAACGCGTGATAGTGTAGATTTTAAATAATCCATTCTTAAAAAATTTGAAGATATATTAGAATGCTAAATTTGATTGGTAATAATTTTCATAAATGACAATTTGTGGCTTGTCAAAAATTTTGTGTGGCTTCTTCTCTTTTAATTTGTCGTTATATTTAAAATAACTTAAACAATCCAACTTATTTTCGTTCTTTTTTTTCTATCCTTTTGTTCCGCTTAAATCACTCATAAATTCCTAATACATACATAAATCTATTTATATTATTGCGAAAAAATAAAATTCATGGCTACAACAAAATTAGCAAGTAAACTTACAGATTTTAGAACTGCAGCAATAACTAACCATTGGAACGATCCACCCGAAAAGGTAAAAAAAGAACATTTTGCTGATAAAATTATACGAGATGCGTAATAAATAATATTTATTAATTATAAATAACATTTGTTAGATATTCAATAAAGAAGTTATTAAACATGATAGACAATATGGAATTTCACAAATTACAGTTATTTTAAGAAAATTATTAAATGATTGTAAACAATTTTTTGTTACGGTAATTATTATTGAGCCAAAAAGATTTTAAATGGGAGATTCTTTTAATGTCCAAGAACGAAATAACTAATCAGAAATTTGATTATTTAAAATTAACAGGGGATTGATAAACGTATTTTAGTTGACACAGAGAAAAGAATAGATTTGTTATTTGAGAAATTGGAAAAATATGAATTACCAGAAAATGTTATTGTGAAATTGGGTCAAATATGTGAATGTACGTTGAAAT